AGGCAGGGTCAGAGGTGACAGCGCTCTCCACAAGGGTGACACGAAATCCCCGGGTACAGGGCGAGGCGGAGAGGGGCGGCAAGAAAAGGCGCCTAGTGCGTCCTGCGGGCCCCACCTCGGGCTGGAGGAGCGGGGCTGCGGGGTCCCACCCTTTCCAGACCCTTTAAAGACTGAGGCCCCCGGGTCATGGGGGAGGTCAGCAGGTCAAAGGGCGAGGCTAACAAGGCGACACCTCTGGCCCTCGGGGCTCTGCCGGGGGCGGGGGACACCTGCGCGGGTGCGCCCTTCCCCCTGCTCGCCTTCCGGTGACCCCAGCCCCTCCCGCGGCCCCTGCGGTCCCCGGCGGCTCCGGGATCTGAGCGTCTCCCACCCGGTCCCCAGCGCTCGCCCTCCGGCCTCCCGCTCGCGCCCGACCCGGCCACGAGACAGACCTCGACCGGCGTCTTCGGGGAGCCACCCGCCCGCCTGGGTCCGAATCCCCACTCCCCCGAGCTCGGGGCCTGACCTCAGGCGGGTTATACGGCATCCAGGCCTCTGTTTTCTGCAGGAAACCCGCACAGTTAGATTGAAGTTTAACTGAGTTAATGCCGAGTCCGCGTGGTTTCAGCAGACAGGCTAAGCAATCTGCACAGGGCCCTGGGTTTCAGTTCTGGAAACCTCAAGCTCAGGGAAAAGTGGGAGGTGTGCAAAGGAATTAGGAGGAAAATTCTCTTCCACCCATGCTCCAGCACCCTGCCCTTCCAGGCTCCTGTCACGGTAATCACTCTATTGCACCTGCCCCACTTCACATGGAAGAATGATACCTGCCTTCCATCCTCTGAGTATGTGAATATCGAGGTTTTACTCCCGACTTCATATATATAATTCCAGACGTGAATAGACATGGATTACAACAGCTTTTTCTTATGTGATTGTTTGTGTAAATCGCCAATTCTCCTTTCCAAGTAGTGGAGAAAAGGCAACTGCAGGCAGTATTCAGCATCTTAAAGGAAGACCGTGTGGAAAGAGAAAGGGATGCCGTGCCGGAAAGGGAAGGGGCGGGGATGGGAGCCAGCCTGAGGAGGGGTGCACCAAGCTGAGAAATCAAGAGTTCTCCCAGTCGCCCCAGGGCTGGAGGCTGCCCCTGGGGCCGCCGGACAGGGGAGTCACCTGGAGACCTGGGGTTGGGAGTGCCGCTGGAGCCAGACCTTTGATCTCTTTCGAGGAGGCCTTGCCCAAGACCCAAGCCCTGCTCTTGTCTGCCCAAACCTTCTTCAAAGCCAGCTGGGCAGGATCAATACAGATGCTGGAAACAGGAAGAGCCCCAGTGCTCAGACTCACACGTCATAAACCACACCAAGACCCCAAACCTCTCCCTCCTCTCTCTCCCTCCCTCTCTCCCTACGACTTCACAGAGAACCTCCAGTACTATTAACTTACTCTTGACATAAACAGAGTCTATGATAATTGTAAAGCTCTTTAGCGCCATAGAGTCCATTTGGTCTAACCCCGACTTTTAGACAAAGAAACAGAAACCCATCAAAATAAAGGAGCTTCAACATCCAGCTGGAACTGCAATCAGGGGGCGGCCGGGGCCAGGCCCCAGGGCAGGCAGGCTCAGTCCTTGCAGGATGTCTCCCTGGGCCCCACAGGTGGTGTGGGCTCAGGGTTAGACCAGGTGAACCAGCACGTGCGGAGCCACATGCTGTCCAATCTGTGCTCCCAGGAAGTGCTCTCAGCTGGTCCCAGGGGGAAGGGGGAGTAGGAGGGGGGCAGATTTTGAGGGGTTTGGGAGCATGGTGACTGTGGAACAAAAAAAAGGTGAAATGAATTCCTCTGGGAGTTGTAAAAAACAGAATGATTTTGTTGAGGAAGATCGGGTGATTTATTAGTCAACTGCACACCCCATCACCAACTAACATGGCCCTGGCAGTGGCTGGTTTTGGTAGGAGAGGGGGCAACAGGCTCTCCAAGATCAATCTTGGGAAACATGGTTTGCAGTCACCCACCCCGCCAGCCTCCTAAATCAGTGCCTCAGGACCAGCTGACCTGCCCCAGCTGACGGCGGAGGCGGGAGGGGATGAGGTGGGAAAAGCACGTGGAGCTAACCCCTGTCAGGTGGGGCCAAGATTGCTCTCTCTGTCTTGGGGAGGCAGAGTGACAGCCAAGACAGCGTTACTCTCCCTCAAAGGGTGAAGGGTTTCCTGCCCAGAACTGGTGGCTAAGAATCTCAGGTCTCTTTATAAACCCTCCCTCCCCAAAGGGAACAGATAGGATGGGGAAACAGGGCTGGGGACACCGGGGGCATCGAGGGCAGCAGGTGGAAACTGTATGGCCCCTGCAGTCAGACCTGGTCCCAGTCGGAACTCTGAGGCTTCACAGTTTGCTGGGGACAAGAGTCTCAACCTCTTTGAACCTGCACTCTATAAAATGGAGAGAATAAAATCCATCTCCTGGTGTCATAGTGAATATGGAGGAAGAGAATTCTAGAAAGCTGATGGCACATGGTAGGTGTTCAAGAAACGAGAGTGTTCCCCTCCCTCCACTTAGAGGCAGAACTGCATTTTTATCACCCCAAAGAGATATCATCTAAAGATAAGAGGAACATGGTGTAAATGCTGTGAATTCTATTTACAGGTTAATATTGGTTTTTGCAAAGCTGCATAACGTCTACTCCCAAATGCTGTCACGTATCCACTGCTGTCCTCCTAATCCTCCAGCACATACTGTGTGTCAGAACTACCCTGTTACGATGAAAGAGAAACCTGGCTCTGCCGCAGCATCCCTGCCTCGGCTCTCGCCAGGTAAAAAGCCCTTTGAAGGGAAACTACACGACCCCCTATATATTTGCCTTTCAATAAGATCCCTCACTTGTAGCAAGCTGACCTGCTAATTTTAAAGTTTACCTGGCCCTGATTTTTTCCCTTCCACAGCCCCTTCCTGTCCTTTATTAACCTCTCACCTGCATAGGAAACCAGGCTTCAAGAACCCAAAACCCCTTCCTGCGTTCTCACACTAGTGGGGTGAGATAACTAGGTCTAATGGACTCCGGGACAAAGCCTGGTGTTGGTGGCCGCTTGACTCCTCGACCTGAGTGTTGATTCTTTCGGCTTCAAAAAAGGCCTTAGACATGCTTTTACTGTAAATATTTGGAGTGTGTGTGGGGTGGGGGTGAGGTCTGGATTCTCACTCCACTTCCTCCCTTAGCCAGGGGAAGCCTGCAGGAGGAGGAGAGAGACTGCATTTTCCTGCCTGAGGCCTGGGGGCCAGCCTGGGTCAGAGTGACCCGCTTTGGGATGACTCCCGGCCTTGTGGGCTTCCCAGGGCCAACGTGGGTGCAGGCTCCTACACGCCCATGGGTGTCCCTCGGCAGAGAGGAAGAGCTCTGTCACCGAAGACCTGCTCAGTGGCAGGTGGGCGACGTCTCCAAGCTGAACTGGTCCTGCAGGCCACCAGCTCTCAGACTCTGCCCTCTCTCCGAGCGACTGGGCCGGGCTCAAGGCGAAGATTTGTGGAGGGCAAACTCAGGCGAGCATGCACATGTACGCCTCCCGCCCCCACAAACCCTGAAACGCACGGGACTTCCCAAAGGCGGTGAGAAGGTTCGACCTGCAGAGGATCGGCGACAGGGACACAAACCGTTCCTATGCGCCCTAGAGACCCAGGAGCAGGGCTTCGGGATCTGAATGGTCTTCTCTGTGCTGCCGTCACTGAGCAGAGCGGCTGGATCTGGAAGCAGCGTGGGCTCCCCGATGCAGAAGTGGACACACTCTGGTGCTGACGAGGAGGCGAGACAAGAGGCGCGCTGCTGGCTCTAGGTGACACGAGCCCAGAGCGGGACAGCGCGTCTCAGGACCTGGACTCGGGCAGCGGGGCCCACACGGGGACCCGGGGGCCAGCGCCCGCCGCTCCGCTCAGCACCCGCAGGCGGGCGAGCAGGGACCCTAGGTTGAGCCTCCGAGTCTTCCAGCCCCTGTCGCTGTCCCCGCCCCCGCCCCGCATAGCGGCTCGGCACCCCGGGCTGTTTAGGACCCCGCGGCGCAGGGGCGGGGCGGCGGGCGGCCAGGACGGTGACAGGTGCGCCCCTCGGCCAATGGCGCGGCCGGCGCC